TGGGGGGGGGGGGGAAGGAATGAGTTCTTAAGTAGTTTATTAATAAAGTCAAGCAAGCTGGTACCTCACACATACTTCTAATGGTGCATCTAAAGCAGCAACTTCATGATGGTGTTCACATGACAACATATTTGACAATCAAGCCATCTTAGCAGACTCAGTGGAAACACCAAGGACTGCATGGAGAAAAAGATGCAATTACCCAAGAAGAGGTTTAGACATATCTACACTGCCTGCCCAGGGTAAGCCTGTGATGCCAGAGCTTATGCCAAATAGGTATACAAGTCTGATTCCTACTGCTGCCGAGTTTGACACATTTCATATGCACTAGGTTCATTTGTATTCTTTAAGAACAATTCCCAATATGAGCAACTAAGCAACTTTTTATTCATGATACACTGCAAATACTTATGGACAAATACTCTGATACCAAAAAAGCACAAGCTAAAAACTGAAAATTCAGACAACTTGAATTTTGTGTATGACACAGCTCATACCTGTTGAGCCAGCTTCAAGTTATCCCCAAATGAGAAATGTGTTACAAAGTTTTTTTTTTGTTTGTTTGTTTGTTTTTACTTGGAACTTGAATGACTGACTGGAAATTGTTAACAATATTGTCTTCCTTTTCACCACTACAGATAGGGTTTCTGGCTAGATGCAAACTAGGCAAACCTCCTCTAGACCATGGGTGGTCAATCTGTGACATGGGCAGTTTTGTGTAGCACACAGCAAATCAGGAAGGGGGTACAGAGTACACAGCAACAGATTAAACAGGGAGAATAGGGCAGGAAGCAGAGAACATTAGGAAAAGGGAGGGGATTAGAGTGCCTCTTAAAGTAATCTGTGGTATGCCTGCCAAGAAGGTTAGCACCACTTCTCTAGACAACAACTGAAATCATATAATAGAATATGCTAAAAATTTAGAGTTGCTCAAGTAGGGAGAGTTAAAAAAAGTCAAGAAACAGATGAGGAGAACTGAGTTAGTTTTCTATACCATTATAGTTAAAATTTCATTTTTGTCCTCTCTGCTAGAGTATATGTACAGATGTAATTATTAAATTATAGCAGTAGCCCCAAACATGCCTCCCTGCTGTTCTAGAAAGTCTTATCTACCTTCAATAGATTATGAAAAACTGAACTAAATGCCAACTATGTAAAACGTGAAGTCAAATGCAGAAATCAACCCAAACCCTGTCTGTATGACAGCATTCATAATCATACTTTTCAAGGCAAGCATTACATATTTGTCTTTCCAAAGTTCTGTCAGTCTTTCCTTTGAAGAGGTAAAACTATGAGAGCTTTTTTTCTAGAGCATGAATATCCCAGCCATATTAGCCTTCATTTAGTGCCAGAAACATGTCGTTCTAAATAGAGGTACTGAGTTCTACCTTCATTGTTTCACACTGGAACCTGATCCAGGAGCCATTTAACAGGATCCAATGAGCCTATGACACTGTTTCTCTCTTCTACTTAGAGGCCAAAAATATTTTGTGCCCTCTTTCATATCTGAAAGCATTTCCCTATGTAAACTGATTGGAGCCCTTGTCCTGCAGCTTAATTTCTGGATACAAGACATTTAAATTTTAGCATGCTATTTGTCATTCAAATCCCCCATATTGGAACAGTCTAGCATGTCTTTAACTACAAAGAAATACCAATAGTGTCTGACAAAATTTAGGTTTCAAACAGGACCCTGACATGTACCCAGAAAAGAGTGACATATGTTTACATAAAACTGAATGTACCACATAAGATTCAATATCTGTTATTTTCTTTTGCATGTTTAAAGGGTGGATCTGTTCAAGACTTTACTACATCTTAGCAGTAGATACATTATAATTTCTTTCTACATATGTTAAAGCTTTATTGCTAACACAGATTAGGGTGTTTTCTGCGTATCAGAATGGCTTTGTGGGTTCCAATCAGTACTGCTATTACAGACAACGAGATCTGCACAGCTTAGCTAGTATAGCCTCCTGTATTAAGACATACAGCATTTTAAATTGAGTTTACAGCATGAGTAGAAAAAATGTTTGGGAACTGAACCTCTTTGATACAGAAATAGAAACTGTGGAGATACAAGGTGCCACTTTCAGATTAGGACACAAACATTGTCCTAATATAAATGTTAGATAGACTATCAATTGCTGCAGAAACTGGGATTTTGATACCAAGAGAACAGAGAGTCTGTGATGTCCATCTTGCATAGCTCACAACATGAGAAAGCTTACATGATATACAAGTATTACAATTCTGCTGGAGAATCACCATTCTCTTAGTAGAAAACAGAAGTTTGCATGTTATTTCTCCTGGCCAGTGGCAAATTTTATCCCAATTTGGAAAAGGCGCGCGCGCACACACACACACTCTGTGTACACACACACACACACACACACACACAGCAGGGATGGGAGCTTACAGTGTTCTTTAGTCTGCTCAGCTCCCAGATACCATGAGCCAGGAGGAAGGATCAGTGCCACAAGCCTGCAGCCCACCTCATATTAGAGTCCTCAATTTGAAGGGCAAACATGTACTTTATTGCACTGCTCCCACCAGGCACTGAGTGGAGGGAGCAGCGCCACAAGTCCCCTTCCCTCTCCCCAGTGTGAGCAGCTGGCAGGGGGCTTTGCCACACTGCTCCCCTCATCCCTTGGACTAGTCCAGAAGAGGACGAGAGCAGCCACTGCTTTCTGCCTCATCTCAAAACCAGGCAGTTCCAGGGGCTTTACTAGCACTCTCTGGCTCCCCCTTGCTTCCTGATGGATGATGGAGGCAGGGTTCCAAAGCCCAGGAACTGGGTTCAGGAAAGCTGTCCCCAAACCTGGTTCCTGGCCCCCAGACTTCAAATACTGCCGCTGCTGTTCAGATGGACAGTTGGAAGAGGAATTGCAAAGCCTGAGGGTTGGGAATCAGGCTCAGGGAAGCTGTCCCCAGACCTGGTTCCCAGCCCCTGGGCTTCAAATGCCACTCCCAGGGTCCTGGTGGAGAGTGGGGATGGGGATTGCAAAACTATGGGGACCAAGGAAGCTCTCTCTTGCAGGGTAGCTATTTCCCAGTACACAGCCCTGTGGGCTTTAAATGCCAGTTATGCCACTCAACTGGGCAGCACGCACTGCAATTCAAAAGCCAGGGAACTGGGACACAGTTAGGGAAGCTGTCCTTGTCCTTGCTTCCCTGCAACTCCAGCTTTAAAATCACACCAATCTGGACCGCACATAAGGTGATCTAAAACTTGGGGGGATGCCTGCTGATGACTTGTCCTCTCCTCTGCTTGGGAAAGGGACAAGTCGTCAAGTAATGGGCTCCACTAAGGGGGCAAGGGTGGCATACAGAACAGCCCTTTAGTACCACATGCCTAGAGCGCACATGTGCTCCAGCTCTTGAGCTATTGTTCTACCAGTAAGAATTTCAGAGAACTCCCAGAAAGGGAATATTTCCCCCAGGAGGAACTGAATTGAATGTAGTTTCTATCAGGAGAGCAGCAATTCCAGTAAAAGTGTAACACCTATATGTAGCCCTGATTTAAAAACCAAGAAAATATATATACTCTATCTTCAAGAGTCAGTTACCAAGGATTTTAACCCAAGCCTAAGAATTTCCCGAGATTTTCACCTAACTCTTCATTCACTGAATATTTCACTCTTTTTAACATAATGCAGCATTCGCCTTCCAGAGAGAAGGATTGAGAAAAGTCTTACCACAGGAGTACTTGCTGGGAACTAAACGCAATTTAATTTTTCTTTTTAAAATTAAAATCAAATAGATTTTTAAAACAAAAAGTAAATTCAAATACTTAAAACTGTGACACAATGTCAAGGCCTCAACTTACTACGATCTATTAAAATCATTAAACAAACTATTCAAATGGTATAGATTTGGTATATTTGCTACCAAACTGTAAAGAAAGTATATCCTGTGAATTGGAAGCCACTGGCTTAGCATGTTCAACTGAAATTTACTGACGTGCTAAACGAGGTTGACAGCAGTAGCTTCTTTTGCAGGTAAAAAAGAAATATTTTCTTCTGTTCAGTTTTGTCTACAAATTCAGTTCAAAGTACAAAAACTCTTCGGGAACTGAAAAAGCAGGAAAGTTAGTTTTATTCTTCTAATCAAAAGCTAAGTTTTAGAAAATAAAAGCTATTCATTCTAAATCCTGAATGCCCAGAAACAATTAATTTCATCGACAACAACCCTTCCTCAAACAGAAGTTTTAAATCCACAACATTTTAATATTTTCTTATGCATCCACCACATTTAAGTTTTTCTAAAACATTTTAAAATGCAGTTTTCATTTTTAACTAGTCTCCACCCAAATATATTTTGATACCATACTATAGTTTTAAAAAAAAAATCTAGTCCAGTGGTTCTCAACCTCATTAGACTTAAGGCATATCAGAAAGTGTCAACTCTTAGCTTTCACTCATTATGGAAAAATAACAGAGCAAATCTTCTGTTGCGCACCCTTGCTGAGAATCACTGGACTTAGTCAACATAAGAGCAAAGTATCTCTCTAGCAAAAAAAGAAAAAAGTAAAACATAAGAACCCAAACAAAATGTATGTTAAGCTATATAACTGCTTAAAATAAATGCACCTAGATACAGTATATCCTACTGGTGAGCAAACGTAATGCTAAGTTTTAATGAGAACCAACTTTTCTTTAGGAAAAAAGAATTAAGTACAAACGTACAGAGGATTTTAAATGAGATTATTTTATAGAGGCTCACCAATACATTGATCCCGTACTGGATTGGCACCAATGATTATGAGGAAAATTGAGAGTATCGGCAATTGGCTTTTTTTTTTTTGTCTGATGTGGCTGATAAATGCCACGTGCATGCGTGCAGCCTCAGCACAGCAAGCAGGCAGCCAGGAGCACAGCACGGCAGTGTGGAGAGCAGCCAGGTCCAGCTAGTAAGTCTGTTATGGAGAAAGGGGCAGGGGGGACTCATACCGTTGTACACACCCCAGGAGGGCATGGGGGGCATGTGCCCCCAGGTCTGCATGCAGGGCAGGCTGCTGCTGTAGGCTGGAGCCAGAGCTCTTCCTAGCGGGGTGGGGTTGAGCCAGGCTGTGCTCAGGGCAGGCAGCAGTGGCGCTGGAGTGGGGGGAGAGGGGCTGCAGCTACCCCAAATTCGCTGCAGCACACCCCCCCCATGCCTTCCTCAGCTGCATGAAGGGCACATGCCCCCCACACCTTCCCAGGGTGCATGCAGCTGCAGGAGCCATCCCCCTCCCTATGTCCCCCCAGATGATCTGTGGCTCCATCCTGTGCCCCACTGGGCAGCACTTGCCCTGCTCCTGCCCCATCCCCAGTACCAGCCCCACTCCCTCCCTCCAGTGTCCTCGGTCTGCCCCCCCCTCAAGCCTTCCCTCCCCCCTCAGACTTACCAGCTGGACGCCACTATCCATGCTGTGGGGCTGCATATCAGACTGGTATCGGCCATTATGGCTCATTAAAAATTGGCCATCAGTATTAGCCCAAAACATCTGTATCGGTGCACCCCTAGTTTCTTACTTGGCAGTTTTAATCAATCCACCCTGTTTAACAAACACAACACATACCCTGCTTTTCCTCACTGCTTACACACCCCATCCGTAGAACCCATTCGTTGCAGTGGCATGAGGGCAGCAGAATGCAGTTCTGCCCCAGCTCCAGACCATGCTGTCACCAATGCAAGACCCCAGCCCCAGAGCAGCTCCTTGCCCAGCCCAGACCTGTGCCCTGCCAGCACCACTCAGTCTCCACAGAGACCCTGGGAACACAGGGCAGTCAGAGCCCCACACTCACAGCCCTGCCACTCCAGGGGTCTCCAAGGAACCGGCTGGAGTGACACAGGCAGGGGCTGCTAAGAAATGGAGTCCACCACAGACCTTATCCAGCCTGTGGGCCAGACTTTGCTCACCCCTGCCCTATACCAGTGGTCTCCAAACTTTTTTGATCATGCACCCCATCAGTAAAAAATTTTTGAGCATGCACCCCCAATATATATATATATTTATATAAATATACATCTAAATAGAAGTTCTAATATTTTCTTCCCGCACCCCAATGGATTGTCTTGTGCCCCCCTGGGGTGCGCACACCCTACTTTGGAGACCACTGCTCTAGACAATGGAAGTGAACCTTTCTGGCAGGTGTACCACACCTTAGCCCTGCACCCTTCACATGCCATTCTAATCCCTTTCTCTTATCCCATTTGCTGCTAAACCTTTGGCTCCCCACCCTGCAACTCCCTGACCAACGTGCTGCTCCACTTTCTGCTCCATACCTATCTGCCACTATGCTGCCTGTTCCCTCCCCAGTATGCTATGTGTTCTAGAACAGAGGTGGGCTACCTGCAGCATGTGGAGCTTTTGGATCCAAGAAGCACCAGAGGCAGTGAACAGGTCCTGGCATGAGCTCACCTGCCTCTAACCAGAACTGAGTCATTCCAAGCCACAGTGTCAAAAGGTTGCCAACTGCTGCTCTAGAAAACATACGTACCCTTGCAATTCACTTCAAATACCTTTTCAAATTCACTTCCAGCAAACAAGCCAATAGTGCCACAACAGTGAATCAGATCATTTTAAAGATTGTATGGAGAAAAGTAGTTTAAAAAAAAAAATACATTGTATCTACTGCATATATATTAATTAATGAAGGAGTTAATTCCCTCAGGATATAGTTAGTGCTTTGCTTACCATAATTGTAATTTCTCTTCTGCAGATGTTGAGATCAGGCACATTATTAACATACATTCGTTTCAATGCGCAACGCATTCCACCATGGGTCCTCGCTAAGAACACTGTGGAAAAGCCACCTGCAGGAAAAAAATGTAAAAGTTACCTACAAAAGAGATTACTTTAAATTTTCAATTTGCCTATGAAACACATCAAGTCATGATAAAAAGACATTTTAGTATGTATTTTAGTTTTTTAAATTGCCCAAGTAGTTGTTGACAGTTTGTTCTTATAACTAGGATTGCCTTTTTTCATTAAAGGTATAAAGCTATTATAGTGTTAAAGTTGTTGGTTGAAAATTCCATATTAACAGTGGACTTTATCATCTCCTATAAAGCTGTATTTATTGGTACTAACAGATAGCCAATGTAGATAGATACTGTTTCCAGGAGGTTTAGTCTGGAATAAAAAGTGTGCATTTATTTGTCTTTAATTCTTCCACATTTTATTCACAGTTTCTAAAGTTCTGTATAGGAAGTTACAAAAGACAAACTGCAGGAAAAACAGTGAGAAGAACTATATATTTGGTAACCATGAAAAAAAGTTGCAATCTGGAAGAAAAAAAAAAAAACCTAAACTGAATAGATGACATGGAGCATAAACTGAAATGCAATCTGTTTTTACTGTATCCACTGGTCCTCCAGACAACGCTCAACTATACAGACCTGAAAATGAAACAACTCCCTTCACAACTCAAATCAAAAGCACACATTTAAAGCAACACTAGGCATATAAAATAGCCCATTTTAGTTTTAAGTAAGCATATATCAGTGTTCCTGCTATTTCTTGGGATTTTTTAATTTTAGTTTCTTCTTTTACCCTTCTCGTGATATAAAGCAAGACAAAATAAAAATAAGGAAGAGTGAAACTTATTCCCAAATAAGCCCCACAAAACTTTAAGCTTTATAGTAATCTTAGGTGTTAGCTGTAACTCTTGTAGATAGTTTTAAAAAAAATGGATTTTAACCAAAAATTGGTATTCAAATAGATGGATGGAGTTTCAAAGCATACATACATAAATCTTTCCCACACATGGAAATTTATACATAACAGTGTACACATTTAAAGCAATTAAACAGTGCTAACCGTAATTCACTACAATGTGACCATGAGCCCGAACATTCAGTTGGGAATTTTTACTCCACTACGCAGAAAATAAAATAAAGGCCATATTTATTTATATTAATTGATGTTTTGGGGGGCAAGGGGAGGGGGGAATGGAAGGGCTAATTAGTGATAGATATTTTGCCTCCTTAAAAAAAAATGGGTGTTAAAAATTACTGTGCTACAATTTGGAAATGAATCCACAACTTACAATATGTAATTAAATCAACTAACTGAAAAAAAAAACCTTGTGTGCTTATTAGCATGTGTGCATAAGTGGCAAGAGGCTAAATTTTAATAAAATTTTCATAAACACTTCTGTCATTCCAAATGAAATTCAATGTTGGAAAAAAGGGGGGGGGGGACATTTTAAACACACTAACTGAATTTTAATATATGAACCAAAACACCTTTTTTTGGTGAAAACTTAAAATTAAGTTCCTAAATACAGGATTTTCCAAAGCAGTTAAGTGACCTGAGAACACAAGTCCCATTAAATTTCAAACTGCAAACCCTTATTGAATATAGATTTCTCAACTTCTTAATTTGTGGAAGGTTAACCTAACAAAAACTGGCAGGTTATCAAAAAAGGTCTCATGGTAAAGATGTTAGTGCCCAGACCTTGCCTTTTTTGTTATATATAAGCATGTTAAGCGACTTAGTAAAAAAAAAAAAAAATCTATGAAAAAAATCTAACATCTATTTTGTCCTATTTTTTTCAGTCTTCAAATGCTAAAGAACTAAATGGCGCACAATGCAAATTGTGAATTTGAATTGTGAATCTGAATTTGAATTTTTTTAAAATGCATTTTGAGCACCCAAAGTGGGAGTGAACTGGAAATAACTGAAGATGTGAATGAAGACTTGGATAATTATTCCTTTGGCCATTAGGTGGCAATATGATCTAGTTTTTAAAACATGGGACAGTCCGAAGCAGGAGCTGGTGGCAGAAATTTGGGGAGCCTGGTACATCCTGGTTGAGCAATTTCCATTTTGCAAACAGGAAATAGATCATATAGATCATATTTCTACTTTATTTACATGCATTACTTGCAATTATTTTACTTATTGTATTTTAATGTCCATTAAGAAAAAAAATCATCATGGGAGGGGTGGAGAAGGACAGAGGAGGAGGACAAGGAAGGGGCAAAGTTGGGGGCCAGTACAACTGCACCCCCCTTCCTCCTCTTTAACAGGCCCTGATCAGGAGACCCAAATTCTCCTTTCAACTTGATTCTCCCTCACATCTGATTCAAGATTTCTGTGATAGAGGCTTCTGCAGAATAAAATTAGTATCATCAAAAAAGAATTTTAGCAAATATGAATGGGGGACCTCCATGACTTAGATTGTGCTGATCAGTATCCAACCATATTTTTTAGGACAACAGAAATGTTGAGACATGGTGATTTCCTCATTTCAAACTGCTTACTTGGACACCTTCATCAAGAATATGAACCACAACCAAGACCCTAAGACCCTGCAACTTCAGTGATACAATCATCCCACTGAAATCAGTGGAACTACTCAGGTGAATAACCTCTCCTCTGTTGGTGGGATCTGGTCTTATTTCAAATTTTCTTTAACCCCCAAGCTTTCCTGAAAATATTTATTAAAACTTCACTACTAAAAAATACTACTATGCTAAAAGAACAGGAAAAAACCTGACCAAAAATTCCCTTTCCCCCATATAGTGCCTGAGAATAGCCTGGAGGTAACCTCTATTTGCCTTGCTCAAAGATAAAAAAAAAAAATCATAGCCTGAACAATACTAAAAATTCCTCAAGCGGGCCATGAGCTGGTATGCAGTTTGGACTTAAACAAAAACAAAACCTTACACTACTGCTGAACCACAAAAAATGAACTCAGAAAACCCACTGATAGAGTAACAGAGCATGCTATGCAGAAGAAATACTCTCCAAACCAGACCCCAACTTTTGGCTGTTTTGAAGTTTAGCATAATACAAAACTAATTTTTTTTCCTCACTTCTTCCAGTCTCCTAAATACATAAGACATGCACCATATTTACTGAAATCCAAGATATAGCTTCCCCCGCCCCATTCAAGGTGGGGGGAGGGGAGCCCCTTATCTTAGATCTGAGGTACAAGGCAGAGATAGGGGACAGGTGGCTGCTGAGGCTCTGGCTCTCACCCAGGCTTGGAGCTGCAGCTACTGCCTGCTTGCCTCCTCCAGTTACCTCTATCCTGCCCCCACCAGCTTTGTAGCCCCCTCCTCCCCACCCCCGGCTCCCTTGCCCTCAGTTGTGGCTCCATCTTCACTCTGGCCCAGGGCACAGAGCATATAATGGCTCCAGCCCCTGCCTGACCACAAAGCAGCAGCGGCTCAGGCCCTGGCCCTGCTCTCCTCACAACCACAAATTCTGCTGCCTGGCTGGTAAGGACCACAGCCATCATGCACTCTATGCCCCAGGCTGAAGTGCAACCAGAGCCAGAGCCTCAACAGAGTAAAACAGTAGACAGAGGGAAGGAGGGTAGCAAGTGGCAAGGGAAGCACAGGCACCAGGAGTGCACGTGGTGGGGGTAGAAGTGCCAGCGGGTAAAGGGACATGATTAATCCACCACTGCTGCTTACCTCCCTGCTGCTGCCTTCCCCACCGCAGCGGTAGGGGGATGAATTTAAGATAACCTTCCAGTAATTAGATTCTAGACAACGAAAATTGTAAGAAATTCATAAATTTTCCATACCTAGAATCTAATTATTAGGGGGCTTTCTTAAATTCAAAGTCATCTTGGATTTGATTATCAACATTTCCTTAATGGAGGAGGAATGTCTAAATACTTGTACCCACATGCAAAGAGTTTAGATCAATGATTCTCAACCAGGGTGCCAAAGCACCCAGGAATGCCATAAGATTGTTTGAAGAGTGCCCTGAAATGTGAGAAAATAAGCAGCTAAGTGCAAGCTCAGGCTCTTCCCTGCCTAGCTACTCACCTGCCCATACTGCCCAGCCCCTTTACAAGAAGATAAGAAAGCGCTGTAAAAATAAAGTTAGTTTTTGAAATAGGGTGATGCTCAATTCACAAACGTTCTGTAGGGTACCTTGAGTCTAAAAAGTTTGAGAACCACTGGTTTAGATGCTTGCTAAAATAGAACTCTCCACTCTTAGAGGACATAAAAGAAAGCTAGATTCCCCAGGAAAAAAAGTAAAATTGTTCCGTAGTGTAGCAAACAATTATTTTCACCACGTGCCCAGTTATGGAATGCCCATTTGCCACTAATTCTCTTGTAAATATGAACTTTGAACAATACCTGTTCTCATTTCAAAGGTAATTGCAATGCTATGACCTTCTAAAGTAACAGGAATGGGGAGGGAGTATAGCACTATTATCCCTAGGGGTGCACGGATAAAGATTTTTTGGGCCGATACCAATGACCAATTATTAACCAGCCATATCAGCTGAGACTGATCTGATTGCCAGTATGCAGCCCTGCAGCTCACAGAGCAGCATTCTGTGGGGGGAAGGGGCATGGGGGCACAGATCAAGGCCCCCAAGGTGAGGGAGGGAAAGGAACTGAGGCAGGAGTGGGCGCTGGCCACCCAGGGCACAGTGCAGTGTTGGACAGAGCTGCAGGCAGCTCATTCAGGGGGCGTGGGGAGGGGGTAGAGTGAAAGTGCTCCCAGCCTCTGCATTCACCCCTGGGGGGGCATGTCCTCCCCGCCCAAATTTGTGCACAGGGCAAGTGTGGGTTGCCTGCTGCAGGCTCAGGGGCTGCACTAGCCTCTTTGCAGCAGGGGCTGAGCCAGGGCTGTGCTCTGGATGAGCAGCATCAGCAGCACTGGCACCAGGAGGGGAGTTACAGGGTGTGCTACAGCCACCCGAAAATTTGCTGTAGCCTCCCCCATAGGCCTCCTTCCCAGTGCTGCCACCGCCCACTCCATGAACAGCCCCGACCCAGGACCCCCCCCAGCTGGAAAGAGCCCGGTGCAGCCCCTGGCCCCAGGCCCACAGTGGGCA